AAGGATATACGGGTGTGGGCGATGGGTTTAAGGGTTGGGTAGGGGTGCGGGGGCAGTATGAGAATTGGGGTTCGGGACCAGGGTGGGACAGGGAACAGGATTACCCTTGGGTGGACTCTGGGAGAGGTATGGGTGGGAGAGAGCGGGACAAAGGATTGCCGTCCTGGGGAAGGGGGAAAGGGAATGGAATTTTAGGGGTGCAGGGAGGAAAAGATAGGAATAGAGGAGAGGGTGGGGTCTTGGGGGCAGGGGAGAAAAGTTGGGGGTGTGGAATGCGAAGCTGGGGGTAGTGAGGCGTGATGGAAGGGGGTCTCGAAGATTGAGAACAGAAGGCAAGGAAAGGGATGGAGAGCTTGGAGTCCTAGGAGAGGGAAGCCCGTAGAGTGGGAAGAAGGGAAGAATAGATGCAGAAGGAGAGGAATGGGGGTGGAGGAGTGTGGGGAAGGGAAGAGAGGCAGGTGAAGGTTGGGAGATGGGAGGTTGGAAGGTTGGGTCTGTGGGACAGCAAGCCACCTTTCAGCGGGAGCAGGAAGGGCTGGAAGGGTCTAAGGGTTGAGGAGGGCGGGGGAGCTGGGGTGGGGGAAGGGAGTAGGGTTAGGATTTTTGGTGTTAGAGGCGCTAGTTGCTAAGAGTGTCACGATGTGGGAGAGATTGGCAGGTTCTTGGTGGGGAGTAGGGAGTCTGGGAGAGGAAAGGGGATGGGTGAGAAGGCAGGTAGAGAAGTGCATATTATAGGAAAAAAGTAGTGAGGAAAGTTGAAAATTGAAGAATGGGAACACAGAACAATGAAGGTGGATTGTTGGTTATTGGTAGTTTAGAACTACCCATAGTTTAGTTTCTGCTTAGGTTTTTATGTTAGAAATTTTCTCAAGAATACTGCATTTTCAGATAAACCAAAAGTGTCTGCAGCCTTGGGATGAAGGCCATGGGTTGGCAGATGTTTTCTTGGTATATGGATGTAGCTCATATCGCGCCTGGCAGAGGAAAGAAGGGAGGCCTTCTGGCTGTCCTGGCTCTGTTCCCACCAGCTCTTTCCTCAGATGTGCACTGTTGTTTTTTTTTTAAATCTTATCCCTGCCCCCTTCCCCCTCCTCCCAGGCTTCAATCAGTGAATACTAGAGGGATCAAACAGGTGGATGAGATTAATTTTTAACGTTTTTTTATCCTTAAGGCTGATGTCATATTTTTATTCTTGAGAAACAGCATCATGCCAAGGAAAGAGCTTGAGCTTTGGAGTAATGCGGCCCTGAGATTGAATTCTGGCCCTGCCACTTATTAGCTCTGTTCTAGAGTAAGTTATTTTATTTCCGTGGGTCTCTGTCTATTAAAAGGCAATACTGACCTCATAGGATCATTAAAGATTACATGAGATCACTTTATATAGTACCTAACACAGTGCTTGGCAACTGGTGGGTGCTTAATAAATGGTAGCCATCACCCAGTACCATTAAACATCAGAGTCATTACCATAACTTACTATTCTTAGGGGATTTTTATCTTACTTTACCTACTGAAGTTAGGTGTTTTCTTCTTTTTCTCCTCAAATTAGCCATAGATTCAGCTCACAATTTTACCCTGTGGGCTCCCCAACAACCCCAGTCCACCTGACTGGGATAGTCATGCTTTTTGCTTGGGAAACTGGATTCAAGGTCTAAAAAACTGTCATGTGTAGTATCAATTTTATCTGGCCTCTTTCAAGGAAGCTGTGTAGAACTGAGTTTTTAATGTAATACAGCTATGTTTCATTCATTTGATGAAATGGTACACTTCATGGTAACTTTGGCTCACTTGTGAACAAATGCTAGAATGTGCACGATTGTAATATTTTTCTATGCTGTCGTTTGGGTTACAAAACTGCCTCTCTGTAGCAGGCTGGGCGACTATCAGAATGTCGGTGTTACTCTTGATCCAACATATAATACAGCTACTGCGATTTACACTGGACATTGTTGTTGCTGCAGTGACTAAGTATTTTAGTTTTTCTATTTGGATGAGGTTTTTGCCGCAATTTAGAACAGGCCTTGTCCATTTGTAATACACCACGCTGTACGATAGCAAGTGGCAAACGAATCCAAGTACTGAAGTTTTGTGTAGAATTTTCTTGCCTTTCTGGTTCTTAGCCTTAAAGGGTTAAATATTAATTTAATGCTTAGATCATGTTATAGTACCTCACAGACTCTCAAAAAGCTCCTTTTTGGGAGAATGCAGGATGTGCTGATTTAGTAGTAGAAATTAAAGGCCACCAGGATTCCCTGAACCAAAGTCAATTTCTCCAGTGGCTTCTGGACAGATGATGTGGGTTTGCTCTCCAGGAAATAATTATATTTATTTTTTCCTCATTTAGAAAGAGAAATGGCATTTGATAATTTAAGAAAAATATAAAAAACAGCCAGTACTGTACCTTTTTTAAATAAATGATCACTGGAAGCCAAAGCTGCCAGGATTTTGAAGAGCCTGGGTTTGGGCCCTTAATCTGGCCCAAACCTGCTTGTGCCCTGTGTTGGATGGACTCAGACTTCTAATTTTCATCTGAAGTGGTCACTCACCCATCCATTCATCCATCCATTTGTCCACTTTACTGCAGAGTTTGTGGAAGGCACTATTAGGGGTGAGGGTTGGGGTAATACAGATGGGCAGACCCTGTTTCATTGTTCATGGAGTTCACAGTGTATTGATCCACTATAATAGGGTATCTTCCATAGAATTTGTCTTTCTGTTGTTAAAATCACGTCAGTAGGGACATCCCTAGTGTCTCCTTTCTGATCTACAGGTAGAGTAGAGCTCTGAATGTTAAATGACAGGGATAAAGACCAAAGGACATCTGCTTTACTTCCTCAATCAGAATTAATGTCTGCAAGGTTGGAGAGTCCAGATGCTCACCCCTACTGGAAGAAGAGCTCAGAATAAATGAGGCTTCTCCTTAGCAGCAGGCACCGTAAATGCTGGCAAGAGAAAACTATGGGTTATAAGAGCTGGCACTGTGACAGGATTTTTCCCCCCTGTTTTTTAGTTTAGTTGTCTCCCACCCCTTGTAGTACCAGTAGCAATACACTGCCATCGTCTGCTTTGCCTCTGCCACCTGCAGAAGAGTCTGGCGAGTGGGGGAGGAGCCTGCAGCTGTTGCCTGGAAAAGGAGCTGGCTCCTAGCAACAGTATCAGCAGGCCCTGCAAGTCAGAGCACTAAGTTTATCCTTTGAGGTCTTACCTTTCCTCTCCTACAGTTCATCAAATATCTTTTGAGGGCTTACATAGTACTAGGCACTGTGTGGGGCCTGGGAAAGGTAGATGAACCAAATAAGTGCCTTGCCTTCACAAAGCTCACCACCCTGGGTACATTAACAAGTGAACATAGTACATGGCCCTAAGTGCTATGTAGGAGACACTGGGTGCTCTGGGAAAACCAGACAGGCATATACTTGTGCATCATCCCGCAAGAGGGACGATGTTAATAATGAGTGGGAATTAGCTAGGTCAGGGAGGCAAAGAAGGATGTTCCAACTAAAGGGAACAGAACGGGCAATGGCCAGTGGGACATAAGAGCGTGGCCAGTTTACCTGGGTAATATGACAGGAGCAAAGAGTAGTACATAGGAGATGAGCAGGAAAGGGTGAAGCTCTAGAGCTAGGCAGAGTGCTCTTCTCTCATGTGCTTTTAGACACGTAATTATCCTTGAGAGAAACATGGATAGTACTGATTCCCACAAACAGGATCATTGTTTCATCTCTGGAGACTCAGCATTTTTGGTCACTGAGTTGTTTGCTGACACTTATAAGTGGCTTCAGGGCCACATTGTGGCCCTGCATTGATGCAGAAGAAGCTGAGTTGGTTCACTCTAAAACTCAGATTATTTTAGGGATAATATCAGGCCTGTGTTATATTCTACCTCTCTTCTCCCTTTAAATTGTAAAAATGATCATCAGATACCTTCATTTTATTTAACGTAGCAATTCTCATGTATTTTGAAACCTTACAGTTATTCAGGAAAACAAGTATTTATTCCCGTTAGTTCTTGGGCACATACTGTTACCCAGATGACTGCAGAAATGCCCAACTTTTTACTTTTTTATCTTAAAACTGCCCTAATAGAACTTTAATAGATGTTTCCAAAGGCTAGAATAGCTTTGACTTAGCTTTTGGAATGGAGGTGTTTATTTGTAGATTTTTTTAAAAATCCTGTTGCTTTTGGTCTTTGTAAAGTTCAGGAAACGAGTAAACATTGGTCCCATAGTATCTGCTCAGGGACTGTAGGATGCCAGAGCACTGTGTTACAGAGTCTGCAAGAGTTAATCGTGGTCCCTCTCAAGCAGCTCAAAGCAGCAGACGGCAGACTCAGAAACAAATAAATAGAACAGTCAGCCAAGTGCAACCAAGAAGTGTGTGGAATGTGTCAAGCTAGCAAGGGATTTGCTTATTTCTAGTCTTTTTTTTCTGTGTGTAAACATGTTTTTTAAACATTTATAATTTTAATGGCTTTATAACATTCCATGGTATGTATAAGTCATAATGCATTTATTAACATCCCAATTGTTGGACATTTAGGTTTTATTCCAGTTGTTTTGCTAATATAAACTTGCTGCCATGAATTTACC